GTGGACAAGGAGGGGAGTAAGGGTGACGAGAAGAAGGACAAAGCGGCCAATGAGGCTGCTGTAGCGTCAAAGAGCGCAAAGCCGCATCCGGCGAAAGCGTCGCGTCCCGAGGCCCTAGGCGGCTCGTTGGACGTGACGCTAATCAGCGACGTACGGGAGCGTGATCGGGATATTTCCGATGATGAGTTTTCCCCTACGAACGTGTGCATGTTTCCGGAATCATGGGAGGGCGTAATGCCGACCTCCGTGATTGACAAGGCCGGAGGCTTTGAGCAGTTTAGGAATGAGCTCATGAGGATCCAGAGAGTCCTGGATTCTCCGGCGCTGGTCGACCTTGGTAAGGTCGATCTGGACGCTCTGGGCGAGCCGCCCAAGGAGTACGTCTCGGATGAAGATCACGAGAGTCATGTAGATGATGATGGGATGGGCCCATATGTGGACAAATTCTCATCAATGGGTGACCGCGACCTAGTGCCCTCAAAGCAGGAGCCGCCTTACTATGAGGCAAAGGCGTGGCGCACCACTGAAGAGGAAATTGAGAGGATGAAGAACCTTTTTCCATACTTTCGCGCCGAAAATTATCGGCTTATGTCAGCGAGTACTGGTTCCATAGGTACCAAGTCGCACGTACAGGGCGTCCTCCCAGCAGGTGCGTCGTTAGAAGAGGCACTGACGGCAAAGCCCGGTGTGTGCCCGATTACGAGCACCTACAACCTCACATACGAGGGTGAAGAGATTATGATTGATGCGCAGAGCGGGATAGCAGGCAGAATCGCCTGTCCTGCTGGTAGTGACATCTTCCATTTTTTCCCCGAGATTAGGGATGTGTCGGCGTTTATTGGACGAAGCTCCAGGGAATCGCAAATGCTGCTAGAAGTTTTGTCGGGCAACACTGACCCAACGCGGTTAAGCGTGAAGCCCGGTGAGCAGCCACCCTTCTTGTTTGGGACGGTTCCAGACATTCTGGGAGGTTGGATGTCAATGACTCTGATCTCAACGCTGTTTGAGGCCCTATACGGGATCCATAAGTGCACGAGTGTCGAGGTAGCGACCTGGGCGGGTGCTCTCGCGAAGAAAAGCCCGTCGTACCCTCCAGTCGAGCTCCTAATACGGAAGGTCTGGAGGACAGATGGCACGACTGAGCGCCCGAATGAGGTGCTCTTTGCGCGGTCCACCCTAATCGGGAGGGACGTGCCGTTCAAAGTTTTCAAGCGTTGGGCACTGCGTGACCGAACGCCAATGGGGCCTTTGCTCAGGCCGATGGTAGCAACGGAAGTCCCTTATACGGGATACGTGCTGCTGACGATGGCCGAGTATCGGTCCGCCCTCAAAACGAGGTGCATCCGGAGGCCAGGCAAATTCGCCATCACGGTTTTTCCCATGCGACCTGAGCAGGTCTGCAGGGGGGAGATCATGATTGGGATGGAGGGCGCAAAGGTGCCTCTCCTCAAGTTGCCCAGCCCCAATAATGAGGGCGAATTTTATGTTGACGATCGCGTCAAATACATGGACAAGCGCCATGTCGTTGTGGCCGTTGACCTAAAGTGGATGGCCATCGAGGAAGCCGCCGGCATCTACAAAACCCGACGCGGTTTGATCGCCGTGCGGGAGGAGATACATGCGCCCTTCTGGAGCGCATGCTATCTGCACCAGGAGGGGGGTGTAATATACATCCGTCCCTGGGCGGTCCGTGAGCTGAATGTTCCGGGACCGCGAAGAGGGGTGTCATTTTCATGGGACAATGCTCCCATGCATGACTACTGGTGCCCTCGGTGCGCGCACTTGAACATGTATGGCACCATTCTATGCAATGGTTGCCATCTGCCGATTTTCTATCGTGAGTGGGTGCCAGGCACCGTTCGCTCTCTGGTTAAGAAGGGACAGCCCATCTGGCTAGAGGGACTCAAAGCAGTCCGCGCCAGCAGCTGGTATGAGGGGGAGACCGACGCGTGGGCCCCTCTCATGGCATCGGTAAACCCGATCCGCGAGGTGGTCAGCTGTATGATCACCGGTTTGCGCTGTGCGCCGCACCTTGTGCACATTCCCAATGCGGACATTGTGCAAGTTGCGTTTCAGGAGGTTGCAAAGGTCACCTCAAAGAACACTCACGCTTGTGTGCGGGCGAGTGATGAGGCTCTCGAGCGGTGGGTAGCGAAACAGCTGCTCATCGAGGAGAGCAACACTGGCGTCTCGATTCCCGACAATATGTCTGTCTTGGCATATTTGATCGAGCACCCGCAACAGGCGGCGCAATGGGGTCGTCATATGACGAGAAAGGGCAGTCTAAATTCAGCATTTGCCCTTTACCTCTCTGTGCATATCTTTGATGCCTACCGCATCGGGATTGAGGACGGGTATTTGGTTCCGCTGTATGGCCTAGGCGCCTCACGCGCGGACATCATAATGTCATTGGTACAGGCTGAGCGACGCCTCACGGACTTCAATAGTGAAGATCCGAGTTTCGATGCTTCCACTGTTCTTGATTGGAGTATCGACTCTTTGCGGGCCAGTGGTGGATCCATCACGGCCCCAATTGAGTATGCTGAGGCATACATTTATGTCGAAGACAACAAGGTTGACATGGTCCCCGCTTCGCGGCGCGACGGCCAATGCGCCATTGTTTTTGCTGACCCGCCGGTTGGGAAGCACCACAGGCGGGCAGCCACTCCTAGGGGAGACCAACGGTCTGCTACCCCGCGACCTGAATCCAGGTCAAAGGGTGATCAGCAAAAGGGCAAAGCCCCTGCGCAATCCTGGCCCAAGGGCGGAGGTCACAAGGGTGACCAGTTCCCAGGAAAGGGTCACAAAGGTGATCAGTACAAAGGCAAGGGTGGCCAATACGGCTACCAACAAGGGCAGTTCGGTCGTGGCGGATCCGCCAGATCGAGAACTCCCACTGGCGGGTATCAGCCTGATGCTCGCGGGTCGGGGTACAAGGGTGCTCAGGCAGCTCCTTACCCTTTCCCGAGTCCGATGTACCCCGCTTTCCCAATGGGAGGGTACATGCAACAGCCAATGGCTGGCATGATGCCGCAAATGTGGCCTGGCGCAATGCCGCAGGGTTGGCAGCCGCACATGCAGGGTGATCCCCGCGAGTTCGAGAATCCGAGCTCGCCGCATACCCCTACCTGGGGTGCGGATGATGAGTTGGCCGAGACCGTGCCTCCTCCTCCTGGGGACTGGAACGTCAACAAGGGGAGGGGACGGCACGGCGGCGGACGACATCGGTGATACCTGATGTCCGTCTGCATCCTTTGCGTGGCGGCGCCAACGCGCGCGTGCTTTCATTCCGGAATTCACATAATGGACTATGCTCCTTGTAGTATTTCTGTGTTTGGGCTATTCGCCATTTCAGAATTCAACTGCATGCGCAGCTGTGCGCTATTCGCGCAGGCAGCGATTACCTGTCAGGTGTGCGTCGCCGCAGCAAGGAAGTCATCCTCGGCGGCGTCTATGGCCGCTGGTGATCTGCTTTCTCCAGCACCGCTGCTGCTGCTGGTGATGGAGCTCATCAAGGTGCTGTGGTGAGGATCACGGATGCGCTGCACCGCTGCCGGTGAGGTCCTATTCGGACCTGAACCGCTGATTGCAGCTGGTGGTGTTCCTACCGAAGGTCTTTGCGTGATCGCGCGCCTAGACGGTGCTACTTTAAAGACCGTGGTCTTGTGGTCGAAGCACCACGTTTCAACCAGTGGGCCAATGCGCCTAAATCATGAACTCAGGAAATAAATCCACTCGAACCTTACGGTTCGATGTGGTTGCAGTGCAAATGTATTTTTATTTCATGCCTGCCATTCTGGAGTTGAATCTTTGTTTCTGTTTCTTTTTGCTTTCTCTTGTTTGATTTGGCTACCGGCGCGAATCCGCCCCATACCCGTAATTCGGGGTGGTGGCGGGATCCGGGCACCAATGAGTGCCCGGGTATGGGGCCGCGAACCCTGGTAGCCTAATCGGCTTTGTTTTCTTGTTTATTGCTTTTCAACTTCAACATGGCCAATGCGCCCTTCCAAATTCACTTCCTCTCTTTGTACAGGCGAGGGGGGTGTTTTTGGGGGCATGTACTTTTATCATAGCATGTTTGATTATTGCCATGGCCAATGCGCCATTTGGCTCAAGCTTTTCAATCCGGCAACTAGCCCTTGCAATTTCGTCACCGCGCACTGCGGCACGTCACGCTCATCTTCGGCAAACAGTGCCGCTGCTGAGCGCTCGTGGTGGTGCCTCCGGTGGAGGTTGGTCGGGGGGTTCTGGTTGGGGTTGGTTCGCACTTGGTTTGCTTTGCTTGCTTCGCTGCATTGTTTGCCTGCTTGGTTTGCTGCTTTGTGCTTGCTTTCGGTTGTCTCTGCCCTTGCTGGGTTTCTTTATCTTGTTACAACTGGCACCCTGTTTTGGTTCGTGTTTGGCCAGCCGGGGGCACCGCTTTGCCCTTGGGACTGGGGGACTTAAACAATCTCTTCTTGTTGGTGGGATTGGGCCTGTTTATTCTCTCCCGAAACTCTGTTTCAAACCCTTTCGCACAAATAAACTGGGGGGTGACTGAAAATGTATGAGCTTTGAATTTTCCTTTGGGTTTCCCAACAGCCCTACAGGTTGCCGCGCCAAATGTCAGGCAAGACATTCGGACCGAAGCACTCCCCAAAAAGGGTTGCTGGCAGTTGGGAGTATGTGTCCCTGAGATCGTCATTTTCAGGACACTGATATAGCCACTCCCCAACCTCCCGCCCCAAAACACCCTCCCCCAGCTGGGTCGTTCAAGACAATCCTCAATCCATATGCTAGATGGTAGTGGTTTCCCTCGTGATGGAACCCAATGCGTTGCATCTGGTAAGTCGGGATCCCCAGCATCTTACACAGCCAGGTAAACGTTGGTTGTATTCCTCTGGAGTTCCTATAGAACACAAACAAACGGCATCCTCAAAAATACCCAGAAGACGGTTGGATCTCTTTTCGAAATGTGTGGCCTGGAGCCTTCGCCTCGCCTGCCACATCCCGTTTCCAAGGGCCGCGCCTGCTGGAATTCACCTCGCTCCTGGACGCGCCCTTCACCCGGCTCACCCGGATGCCTGCGGCCGGGGGCCCCAGCTGGGTTTTTGGGAGCAGGGATCAGACTGAAAGCTCCGGTTGGGATGGACATGGAGAAGAGAGAACAGTGGGGGACTGGTGAGAGGCTAAGGTCAATGCTGGCCCCCGCTTGGTGCAAGCCATGGCTTTTGTTGGCTTTTGTATTTTGAAGCTCGAGGACTGGTGCGAATTGCTGACATGCTGGTCCACACTGATTTATTGGCACATCAAGGAAGACCGCGCCTGTCCAACTGACCATCTAGCTTGCCTTGGCACGCTGCTTGAAGGTTGCATTATGTTTGCTGCATCGCAGCTGCATCCTATAGGACTAATTTCACCTCCCTTCGTGTTTCGTCGGCCATTCACGGACCGATTTAGGACATGGCTTCGTAGGAAGAGGCATTGCTTGAGGTTTGCGGTCGGAGGTCCCTAATTCCATTTTGGGTGCTGGGCAGGGGGTTCTACTCCCACCCTGTCCAGGCCACCCTAGACCTGCTGTGGATACACATTGCCCGGGTGCATGCTTTGCTGCCTGTTTAGACTTGCCATTCTGACATGCCTGGTTGGGAAGCTTCAAAGGAGCGGGCCACGGACGATACTTCTGAAGAGCACTTGTCTAAAAACACTGATCTAGAGCAGGCTAGTGCCAGCTTTCCTTCCGCCCTTTCTCAAGTCCTAGTTTGAGGGATTTGCTTGCCTATGTCAACGGCACCCTTTTGCCCGGGAGTCCCCTGAATGGGGAAGTTAGACCTGGAGAAAGATTCCTATTGAGAGTCATGACCATGGCTTAAATGAGGAGGTGTGCCGATGGCACAGGGGTTCATGGCAAGTCCCTTCAAAGCGCCGCTGCCCACAATTCCCCAGGCTGCCTGCGTAAGAAACGCGCAAGGGGTGGGTTTCGATAGCCACGTGCTTCGCGCAGCGTCGTTGGGCTTACTGAAGCATTGGACTTGGGGTATGTCACGCAGGGGCTCTCATATGTTTCTTGTTTGGAGGGATCAACCAAGGCAATTTTGTGACCAAACGGGTTTCATGGTTGGGTGAGAACTCTACAATTGCTTTGCCATTTCTCTATTCTAAACACCCGTGCCGGTCAACGAAATTGTCAGGTACCCCCAGTGGGTACCACAAACGCAAGTTTTCTCCAAACGGTACGGCTACCAGCATCTACCCGCTGGGGTCTGTGTGTCCGCGAGGATTTTTAATGAGCTACCCACCGGGTTTGCCGACAAAACGCGTCTCAGCGGGGTACATCGCAACCCGTATGTCCCGCTTCGAGGTCTTCGCTGCCGTGGTGGCCGCCTCCCAGTTCGTGGCCTGGCGCTCGCGGGGGCCCAGAGCAGATGGGATTGTTTCAGCAAAGCAGGTTTTCGGGGGCCAATACGGGTTGATTTGCGAAGAGCCACAAGGGCCCCAAAATGTTTGGGGAAGACACACCTATCAAATCCTCCGGTTTTCATGGGCTCGATGTTATGGAGGGTCTGGTTGTGAAGGAATATAGGCGACATAATCAGATGCGTGCGGACATGTTGGGATGTGAAAAAAGTTGTTTTCTTCGGACGACCGAAGCCGGCCGGACACTTGGAGATTCCAAGCCTTCGCGTTGTGAACCCACTGGCCTTGGCACCTGTTGGGGGGCTGCGGCCGAAGATCAGAACGCGAGACATGGGCGTTTCTCAAGGTGTTTGTTGGCCTTTCCTTGCAGCTCATCCAAAAAGGGATCCTGTTTTGAGATGCACCCACATCGTCAGCTACACGTGTATGTCAGCGGTGGGCCTCTTCACTGCAGCGTTCTCATCTTGAATCCACGTGTGCATAGCCCAGAGGTGATCAATGATTCGAATGTTTGTGCGTTCCATGTTCGTGATCTCCCTGCATGTTTCCTCACGGGCAGTTGCGTGATTTCGAAGAATGGCAGGGAAAGAGAACAGAACAGCTGCCTGAGAAACTGATGGATGTTTCACAGCCAACATGAGCTGATGTTGCTTTGCCAGGGAGGCAAAATTTCTTGTTCGGGGACGTCCCCAATCACAAATGTTCTCGTTGGGGTCGGCCAAGCCCCCCAAGAGGAGTTAAGACCTGTATGGAACTCGGTTACAATCCACATTGCCATCCGGTGGCCAATTTGGCAACCCAAGAGCGGAAACCTGCGGCTCCCCAATCGCTTTACTTGGCAAGTGGTTTGCAACCAGGGTTATAAGAGGAGCAACCCCAGTTTGCTCTTTAAATTAAGACCAGGGTCGCAACCTATTTACTAAGTGGGTTGAACGCCCCACCCAGGGTCCCCCAACAGCCGCAAGCCGTTGCAATTTGAGGCACGACGTTTTTCTGGACGTCAAGAACTGGGAGGCAGGCGCCGCTGTGTGGCTTGCCCTGGGGAACCCTCGAGACCCTTACTGTAGCTGTCCAGTGGATGGGACACCCCTTCTTTTTGTCAGGGTTTGTTCCTTGAAAATCGTTCGGCTGTGTCGCGCAAACCACCCGGCTGGGCGCCCAAATCGGGGACAATACCGAAGCCTTTCTTGTTTGTCAAATTCCAGTTGACATCCCGACGGTTCCAGGCCGACAAGTATTTCATAGGGTTCCTTGGGGTTCTTTGGGTCAGGGCTTACGGCAGAGCTAAAGCAGCTACCCCCTTGAAAGTGCCATGTTCCGCTCGAGGCTGCTGCCACCAGGATTAGACATGCTAGCCAAATGATAAGCATACTCCTTCAAGAGCGCACACCAAAGCACTGCTCACTGAAAGATGATAAGCACGCCCAATCAAGAGCACTCGCTCAGCGCTGCACGTATGGCCACAAACATGAAGATGTGACAAGCACACCGGCTCAGAGCATCACTAGGTCAATGCAACTTTGTGGACACATTGCGAAGCTTTGGCTTACAGCAACATGCTGGTAAGGGCTTGTGGTGATCCGTGGGAAGCTTGCCCTCAAAGTCGGCATTAGGTGAGTTGAATGCTCCTGGGCTGTGGCGTTGGGACGTTTCGTTCTTGGCTTGCATCAAAACGAGCGGTTCGCCTCGCAGCCACGCTCACTTGAGCTGGGGGCAGGGGTAAAAGTTGCAGGACCGGCCAGGGAGCGGGGCCCAGGTATTGCCGTTCAGGATCAAGGAACCTTTGGGAGCCTGACCCACCCACTTTGAAAGGGATCCTTGCAAGTTGATGTGCATTGAGTTGACGTGCCCATGGCCGGCCTTTTAGGTTCGACGAGTTCTGCAGAAAGCGCTCGCCCCTGCCTCGGGCCGGAAGGCATGTGGGCAGATCAATGGTTGGGTTGCAAGACCTTGCGGTGGCCAGGCCCAGCATCTTTTGGATGCTCACAGCGGTTCCCTTTAGGAACCCCCTCGTGCCCATTCGGTTTGGGCCCAAGTTGCATGGGGAAGAGTTTGGACACAAGGCTGTTCTTTGATGGGATTTCAAGCATTGTCTGATCTGCCTCGGACTCGTGTGTTGTTTGCGCATCGTTTTAAAGACCCGCATCAGGTCAGCCTGTTGGCCGGTTGTCCCTTCTTGGTGTCGATAACCGTGACTTGCTTCCCTTGGTTGCTCTTCTCAACTTCTTGCCCTCCTCTTTTTCTTGCTCCTTGTCTTTTTTCTTCTGCCGTCTGCTCTGCGGTACCTCCAGAATGGCCGTGGCACGTGCCCAGACAAAATGCTGGGCCCGGTAAAGTGGTTGCATGTTGAAGGCTTGTTTCCTGAAGTTGTGAGGATGTGTCTTTTAGGGGACCGAGAAATCGCATGAAGCCACTCATCATTGACAGCCATACAGTCACAAGGGACCATAGCAAGCGCTCAAATGTCCCAAAAGAACGCAAAGAGAGAGAGAGAGAGAGAGCGCATGTTTCCCATATCTTGGCGGGTGCAATATTTTTTCCCGGTCGTGTCCGGCGTCCTGAAGGGCCGCTGATGTTCGATTTCTACGCAGTGCACCGCACCAGGCCATCCAAAAGGACTGCCAGACGGACTGCGACCTGCTACAACAGTTTCACCAGGCAGTGGCGGGATCTCGTTTGGAAGGATTTGGGTATGTGTCCAAACACGGGGCCACACAAATTGGCGGTTGACCTGCAGCTGGCCACCCCAAGAAGCATACCCTCAACAAAAGCACGCACACACACACACACACATGGACCAGAATCACAAGTAAAAGCTCTGGTTGGATGGCAAATGCTGACAGTGAGACGGTCAGGGCTCAAAGCTGTTTGTTCAAATGAGGTATTGCATGCCATTTCCCATGCGTTTTTGGGCCCAATGGGGAATGCTTGTTTTGCACCATTGGATGCGACAGCCCTAACATGGTGCAGTTTCGCGTGCTCTTGTTGCTTGAATTTCATCCCCAAAACTTAGCGGTTCCCAGCCGTCACAGTAGGTTTGTAGATTTTTAGGGTTTGTTGGGGTTTTCCATCGCAGGGGATCACATGTCAGGCGGACGTCGTCCAGAAGCTTTGGCAGGCCGCGGGGCTGTGGGCCGCGGTTTTTTGGCACAGGCATGAGGGTTTCAGGTGGGTTCAGGGTTTGAATTTTGTTTCTGTGTTTGTTTTGGTTTTTGCAGGGTTCCGGAGGAGCAACCCCGGCCGAGAAAAACCGGGCAGTTTCCCTTCAGGCTCACGGAAAAGGCTAGGACGGCCCCTGCTTTTAAATAAACCCCTCAGTTGGTTCCCTTGTCAGCTGCAGGCATGTACGCTAACACTGGACGATGCGGTGCACGCGCGCACACACACACACACACCCACACCCACACCCACACCCACACCCACACCCACACCCACACGCACACGCACACGCGCACGCGCACGCACACGCACACGCACACACCCCCGCGAAGAAGAAGAAAACTTTGCGAAAAGGTTGTATCTGCGACGCGTTTTCTTGTGTGTTGGAAGTGCACCCTTTTGAAGATTCACAATAGGACCCCTCAAAAACACTGAGCAGGATAAAGGCTCTAATAATTTGTGCCCATACCCCCCTGATTAACCACTTGGTAAACTGGCAACAGCACACACTTGCTTTAATCTTCCAAAAGGGACACCACAAGGGCCTTTGTCACAAGGGGATGAATAGTCGGATAATCATTGATTTGTTTTTTGGCCCGCACCCAGAGTTCATCACACGCATTGGCCGATTAGGCCGTGAGCTCAAGCAACGAGTTGCCACCGCCGCCGCCTGAGCCAATCTCCCAGGGCCCGCAGTTTAGGAGCCCGGCCCTGGTGGATTGCGGTTTTAGAAGGGCGAAAGGGAAACTGACCAATCTTGGGGGCTTCATGTTTGGCTTGTGTCATTTAAAGAAGGTAATCATGGAATAGAGAATGTCTTGAAGTTGATGTTTGTGGCCTTTTTGGCAATATATCCTTTCTGAAGGCTCAGATCAAAATCAAACCTAGTCGAATTGAAGATGGCGACGCTTTCCGGGGGGGGGTTGTTGATCAACCCCCCCAGGAAGGCGCGACCGTTTTCACAACCTGGGGCCTTCCGACAAGAAGTAGGAGAAAAGATGTGCCATAATTCACCTCAGGAATCGCTAAAAAGCTGAACTTGATCATGGGTTGCTAAGCTTGCTCACTGCCACTAGCGCAGAAAGATCCATTTGCGCCACACTCAAGCATGTCCCGTCTCCAAGCTGCGGAGGCTTTGGACGCAACTCAGCCGCTGGGGCCCGAGAGAAAAGAAGCCGCCAGCTGGGTGTTGCAAATCATGTTCCCTCGCTCCAGCATGGAAGTTTACGATTGAAGGGTTGGAAGGCTACTTTCCTTTTGGGAAAGCCCCAAAACATTCACCTCCATGATTCTTGGTGAGAGGATTAGGGAACTCCTTTTTTAGACGGCTGCAGAGTGGACATGACAGGTACCTCCTCGGTAGGTAGCCTCTACTTGTTTTTTGGAAACTCGCGTTTGGTTTCTTCCCGCGGGGCGCAGAATGGCTCCTTGATTTCGGATTTTCCAAGGCCTATGATCTGTTCCCACAGAGACCATGCAAGCGTAGATGGCACGAATCTCAAGCAGAGATAAAATCACATATATATATATATATGTATATATATATATGTATATATATATATACTGACCTTGCAGAGCGCACAGCACTGCGGTGGATTCCCTTGCTGTAAAGCCTGGAGCAAACCAATCATTGAACATGGCAGGCTTTTGGACTTATCCCTTTTTGTCCTGGTCTTTTCCTCGTGCTTTTTGGTTGTGTTCATCACTTTTCATTTTGCGTACCAACCGTGCCATGTCCTTTTTCGGGGAACCACATGGCACCAAGGGTGGCTGCTGGGCGGTTTGGACCGCCCCCGTGCAGGCGCGCCTGGAGCCAGTTGGTGTTTCCCAACAAGAACCCGCACCGCCCCTCCCCCCGCCCCCCGCATCTTGGTTGTTTGGGCCATATATCAAGTGATTGCGACTTCCTGGGTTGTCATTGTAGGTTATTGTGTTTGGTTTGAAAGGGATCCAGAAGGACGCCAGCCTTTGTGGAGGTTAATGTTGAGACACACCCAAACAGGACTTTCTAAGATGGGTTACAGGTTGCGCGGCAGCTCCGCCATCTCCTCAGCAATCGTCACTTGCCGTCGTGAAAGCCTGCGGAATTGGTTTAACAGCCGGATCCCTGGGAGGAAACAAAAGCAGGTTGTTGCGACATGTGGTTAAACATGTTGAAATAGGGGGGTGGCCCAACCCTGGAAACTAGGCAGGTTGGACCACTCGACGATTTTGTTGCTTGCCTGAACAGGCCCAGATTTTATGCATTAAGCAGCCACGGCGCTTTGGAGTACAGTTCTAGTGGTGCTTCATTTGGATGTCCATTGTACACTCTTAGTGGGCAGGCTCCAAGTTCGGTTGCTGAAGCTGCTGGTTTCAGCAAGCCCAGGGGCGTCACTGCATCGCCCGTTTACGTGGCGGTGGGCTTTGGATCTATCGACGAGCGCTGGCTGCGGTATTTCCTGGATCGTGCCGTGGATGTGAGGTGTGGTGGGGTGGGGCGGTAGGGGGTAGCCTAGTCGTGGTCATCCCGCATGATAGACGGAGGTAGCCCCAATAAACGACCCTACGTTACCGATGTTGTTCATAATACATATGTGGCATGCTATTGCTGGATGATTACGAAGAAGGAACATAATATGGACATTATACCAGATGACGAAAGTTGTCTGCAGGAAGGACTTAAACATTCATTTCTCATCTCAATTGCCTGGAATGATTCTTGACTGGAACCAACCCGATGGAACAAACCTACCAACAGTGACATATTATTTAAATAGGTAAATAGGACACAATAGCAAATATAACTACTGAAGTACAACATTGCATATCAGAACTGTGGGGCCTTTTCCCATCCTTTTCTTTCCTTGCCATTTTCATTTGTGTACCATTTCCGATCATCGCAGCTTCTGACAGGGACGGGTAAGAGATCGAAAGGCATGGCCAAGGTAGCCATGTCATCCCTC